CTCTGAAAGAAGCCAATGGATTTTTTCACATGTAGTCATTATTTCACCCAAGGAGGCATCTACCATTGTTTTCCCAGTATCACGCGAAGAGATACTAGCAAAAGTTGTTCAGAAAAAATCATCCAACCCAGTCAAATAAAAATAGGAAAATAAGTAGCAGTTTAGCATGAGTAAGAGGCAATTCCAATGCAACTAACTCTTAAGACCAAAATTAAATGTTGTCATATGTGAGAGAGAGGACAAATGAAGTTTTCATAATCATGAGATTCTTCAGTTACTTTTGCACTTGTTTATTTATGATAAGTGAGACTCTCTATTACATCATTAGTTATGTTGCACATTTTTGGACAGAAAACTTTGAAGCAACCAACACTTGGAAATAAGGTCACTGACATAAGTTGCTGAACTCTAGGCAATAGCTTTATAGACTTCAGGTATCTCCTATCCAATTTTTTCATCGTATATGATTGTGAAACAAAATTATGCCCAATGGAACTGTTTAACCTCAAAATGCTTAATACTCCAGCACTCATATTTCAAAGCACTTCCAATCTCTTGGAAGAAGAGTGTTCACGTCAGAGCTAGAGGAGTGGGAGGGAATAAAATAACAATAGCTGCTACTTCTGTCTGCAGCGATCTTCACCTATTGATAAATACCTTCAAAGTAAATCTCTTTTATTTCTTCTTTAGACGAGGCTAAACCAACTGCAAAAGTAACCATCAGTCTCTCCTGAAATATTTTACTGTGTACACCAAAGTATTGTATAACTCAATCACTGAGAACATTTCATTTGGATGTCCAACAATATTAGGTCATAATTTGTGTCATTGTACATATAATGTTAAAAAAACATGGTCAACGATTGACCAAAGGGATCTTAGGCATTTCAGAATCATTCATTCTGCTCCTCGGACAAAATTTAATGTGTCAATACTGTTGGCGGTGTAAAATAGTAGTTTTAAATGGTAAGTGTCCTTACTTGCATATAAGGTCTTGATGTTCAATAATATACTTCAGAAGTATACGTAGAAACAGACGTCTTTGCTTGAAGCTACTCTTTGCCCATATCTTCTGAGCTTTCCTTGCCTGTACAACCCGCTCCTTAACCTGAGCATGATTTAGTTTGTTAATTGCATTTGGCTTGCATGTATATATCTCAAAAAAGACCATTGATGCTGGTTTTAGGGGCGAAGAACAAGGAAACTAATAAGATTGCAGATGTGAGCTGGAATCTTATGTATAAGAACAATCCAATGTTGAAGTTCATTTATACGTTTATCATGTAAAGGTTCTCATGGTAATATGTGCCAGCAAAGGGAAACAGTTAACTGAATGCCCAATCAAATCCTGATAAGATGACTCAGTATCTTTATGCAAAACTTCATACAAGAACTTTAGATACTGAATGTCTGAACCATGTAAACAAGGGAAGGAGGGAAAAGGAAAAGTTAGCCTAGTGCATGACAGGAGATCCTGACATAGAGTATAGAGGAACACAAATATCATATACATAAATCTGACCTCATCAGGTTTCAGCGCCGGGAAATAACCCAGGTACTTCATTGTTGCTGGTTCATAGCACTGAACTTTGTCCGTATGCCTTCTCGAGGGAATCTAAATGAGCAAAATTATGTGTGAGAATATACAAGTGTCACATTCTTTCACTTTACAGAATGAGCCATATAAAGTTCCACAAAAAATAAGAGAACAAAGTCCATTTGAATAACTAAACTGACATACATACTACAGTAAATCGCAAATTGTTCTCCTAAAGAGATACATTCTTGATGGTGTGAGTGAGTTGGAAGCGGGACGAACTACTCTCAGTAAGATGTGAGTTGACTAACTACATAGAACTCAGTCTTGAATGGAAATGTTTCTGCAGTAACTTTTAACGTTTGGTTATCTCAAATACGAGACAATGTTTTGCCGAAAAAAGTAAGTTCCATTGAGAGAAGAAAATTGACTTCATAAACTTATGGATGGAACTCATTTTCAATAAAATATCCCATTCTAATTTTAGTTCCATTGAGAGAAGAAGTTGATTTCATAAACTTATGGATGGAACTCATTTTCTTTAATGAAATACCCCCATTCTAATCTTCTTTGTATGGTTGATGCAAGAGATATGTAGAATGGGGATATTTGAGCTCATTCATTCTCAAATATCCCTATTCGTGCTACATATCTCTTGCATCAACCATCAATAAGGTATTTTGTCAAAAATAAGATACCACAAAAACACAATCATCAAATTCTCTCTCTTTTTTTGTTTAAAAGGTTATGTCTGGGCCAACTTGTGCACAACTTGGTTAATCCACCATATATTTTCTATCTTCTCACAAGTACTATACCATGCAAACTCAAGCTACCAAGGTTTAGAAAGATCAGAATAATTCATCTAGCATAGCTAATGTGGGGACTTCAATCTTGCTTCCCAAGGTTGTCTCAACCGTTAGATAACCCCTAGGGAGCAATTCAATCCTCATACTCTATCCACCACCTTGTATGATAGAATGATGATGAAAATAATAATAATATCACCTGCGATTTTACTCAGCTTGACATTGTAAGATGTTTAAGTAAATGATCACTAGTGTATGATTTCTAATTACACACTTTCCACATACCTCTAGTGGAAATTCAAATTGTTTTCTGCAATTCAGTAAATATCTATATTCTATAACTAAGTGCCTCTTCATAAAGAAAAAGATACTACTAAAAGAAAGAAATCCAGCTAGTGAAATTTCAAACACAAAAAGAAGGAAAAAGAACAAACAAAACAATTAAACAAAAATAAGCAAAATACAAACTGATACCATCGATAGTTCAAATCAACATCAGATAAAAGTACGAAATTCCATTTAAGCACGTAGAAATTTCATTAATTACTTACATAAATGAAACTGTTGTCTTTAGTCTGATTCCCATCATCCAACACTACAATACCAAAAACATTGATTAAACAACCAACATTGTAATCGATTCAACAATATCAACAATGTAATACCTTAAGGAGCACAACAAAACCATACCAGGAGGGTAGAGTGTACACATACCCTACCCCAACAAAAGTAGAGAGGCTATTCCCGATAGACCCTCAGCTCAATGGGAAAAATAGTTCAAAGAAGTCTTATACCACAAGGAGTAAAAAAATAACAAATCATCTATTCATTCTGTCTCAATTTATGTGACACCTTCTACTTACCGAGATCCAAACTATGTCAACTTGTCCATCATTTCAACATGCATTTTTCATCATGAGAAGATTGTCAACTTATATTATCTATTTTTTCCAAAATATTGAGCTGATCTAATCTAAATTAGCTTCAAAATTAGCTTACACCATAAGGAATTATTTTTTTTGTTAAATAAATCAATTAATCTACACCTTCTACTTTCCAAACTCAAACTATGTCAACTTTAACCACCATTTCAACATGCAGTTCATCATGATAAATTTTAATCCTAAAATATTGACTTCATCTAATCTAATCTAATTCAGCTTTGATAAGCTAAAAATGTAACATAAATTGGAACTGAAATAAATTACTACTACAATATATAAACAATTTAAAAGTAGTTCAAACAGCAAAATTCGTATGGAAGCTTACCATCAGAAGTGTCGACATCAATGGAAGGGACATTGTCAGGAATGAGCATCAACAGTAATTTACAGATCGCAAATGCGATAGCGATAACAATCAACGGCCACCAGAACGCCATTAGAAGGTTTCTAGAAGCTTCGAAGAAGATTAATTAGGGTTTTTCACACTACTCTTAGAAGGAATTTGAAGGAATCGCCATAGCCATGAGAGAGAAGAGAGATTCTGAGTTCCTCGTAGACGTCGCTTATTCAGTTTCTATTAAATATATAAAATTAAAAAGATAAATCAGTGGCGGTCTAAAAGTCGATTTGCACACATTTTAAATTTTCATATTTTTTTATAGCTTGTTTGGACCACTGTAAATAGTTTAACTTTACTTTATTTTTTATATATATACGATTTTATTTTATAACGTGTGAATAAATAGATATATATGATTTTATTTTATAATGCGTGAATAAATGAATATCTATATTCTTTAATTTTTAGTGTACATAAATAGACACTTAAATTTCTATAAAGTTTAGTAAATAAACACACACGTCTTATTAGACAAAAAAAAGAGTAGGACAATTTACATTTGAACTATGACATGTATAATGTGTGTGTCCAGGGGCGGCGTTACATTGTATTAAGGATGAACCCCTTTGGTGGAAAATTATATTAATTATACATGGTTAAATAAGTTTATATGTATATATAGAAATGTCGAACCCTCTTCGACTATCTATTTCTACAGATTATGAACCCTTGTAGAAAATTGTAATTCCACATCTACGTGTGTCTATTTGTTCGTTTTTATACAAGTTCGAGTGTCTACTTGTATCTATTCCAAATTGAAGGATGTAGATATTAAGTATTATTAACCTAGACCAAGTTAAAAGACTCATTTATATCTTATGCCTAACTTTTTTTTTATCATTTAACCTGAAAAAGACATGAATACACTTTCTATTAGCACATAAATATTATGTATTTTCTTCAAAGTGTTGCGGGTTAAATGACAATTTAGTGCATATAATATACGTGTTTGTTAGGTTTGGAGAAGAAACACATCTCAAAAAGTATATTACAGATATTTCATTTTAATACTAATACAATGCTATTTCCACGGCTCAAATCCATAACCTATAAATCAGAAACAATTTTACCGTTACTTCAAGTCTTCTCGATATATTGGCAAAGGTAAATTTCAGTCTAAGGTGGTTTATATTCTTTTGCAAATACACAAATATTGCTGTAAAATATTCCTATATTCTCATAAAAGTAATTAATACATACATTAGTTTTTCTTTGCCAACAATACTTTGCTTTCTGACAAAACAATGCTTCTCTCAAAATGAAGTAAACAAATAATGACTTCTCCTACATGTTCAACTCAAAAAAAAAAAGATACAAGTTTCTCTTATGTTATACACATTTATAACACCTATATATCAATCATCAAATATTTCTACATTTTATGGTTTTTTTCATCAACAACATATTCTTATTTGCATTCATCTGGTAACACTTCATTTCACCCCTTACATCCTATAGAAGTAGAAAATTATAAAAAGCAGAATACACTGACTCTAAATCTTGATATTCGTCCTGCTTAGCGCGATTGCTGGAGTACAAATTTGAGGTTTTTGACTTGCTTTTCTTGTTTTTGCAGAAGTTTAATGAAGGAAGGAGATATATCTCACACAAATGTCAAGAGAAATGATGATGAATTACGCGATATCGTGCAAGAAGAAGAAGAAGATCTTGCACAATCAATTGATGAGAGGATGAAAGATGTCTCAAGTTTTCGACGTTTCAACAGAGTTCCTGAGGAACTTAAAAAGGGAAGTGAATGTAGTTACTCTCCTAAATTAGTCTCAATAGGTCCTTTTCATCATGGAGTTGATAACCTTAAAACTATGGAGGAACATAAGTGGTGTTATCTCAACACACTTGTGAGTAGAAAACCAATACACACACAAACCATATTAGATAAATGTGTGAAAACACTTAGAAATTTAGAGGATAAAGCAAGAAAATGCTATGGTGAAAACACATTTGAACAAATTGGAAGTAATGAGTTTGTTCAAATGATGTTACTTGATAGTTGTTTTCTCATTGAGCTCTTTATCAAGTTTGTTATAAAGGGTTTTCGACGTAGAGATGATATACTCTTTATCAACTATGACATGTTTTTCCGTCTTAGATGTGACTTGATTCTACTCGAAAATCAGATACCATTCTTTATCCTTCACCAAATGTTCAACTTAGTTCCAATTCCTAAAGAATGTACTTACTCCCTCATGCAACTTGTTTTACTCTTCTTTAGAAAACTGATTCCTGGTGAAGGACTAGTAACTATAGAGAAATTTGGTCCTAGTGTTCACCATATACTAGACTTGATTCATCATTGTTATCTTCCAACGAGTCCACAAGTTCACTCGAATGGAACACAAAAGCATATGCATAATGTGTTACATCTTCACGACGTAGGGATCAAGTTCAAGAGAGCAATAAGTGATAGTGTCATGAATGTAAGGTTCACTAAAGGCAGAGTCTTGGAAATTCCATCATTGAAAATACATAGCTACTCTGAGATTTTGTTCAAGAATATGGTGGCATTGGAGCAATGTGGAACCTTTAGAAGTGGAACAAAGCACGTTGCGTCTTACGTTTACCTCATGAAAAGTCTTGTAAGGTCTGCAGATGATGCAAGTTATTTGACAGATAGAGAGATTTTGGATAGCAGTATGTATAATGATGATGAGATTTTTCAACTGATGATGAGGCTTCATGTGGAGTTTGATGTCAAGGATTTTTACTATAGTGGACTTTGTGAGAAAGTTAATGGATATAAGAAGAAAAATAAGTGGAAAAAATGCAGACAAAAATTTAGCAATGTATATAAGAAGACTGCCAAAAGAATTTCATGCTAACAATTTTTTTTTTCTTTAGTAGTTTTATGTTTTTGCTGCAATTTTAGTTTCTTTTATTTGCTTTTTTATTGCACCATACTTGAGAAATTATTATATGGAGATACCAAATTATATCTATATACTTGTTGTTTCATTACTGTATTCAAAAGTCAAATCTCTTTGTAACTACGTCATTTGTCCATATAAGCCTTTTCTTGTTGTTGCTTTTGCTTGTTATTGTTGCATTTTCGTTTTTCGTTCATAAGGTCTATCAGAAACAATCTCTTTAGGTCCTATCGATAAACAATCACTCTACCTTTGAGTCAAAGGTAAGGTAAGAACTATTCTACCCTTCCTAGACGCTAAATTGGTTGTTATAGCAAAAGGAACATATAATGTAGCATAACATAAAAATCGGTTCACAAAAAAGCTTGACGATTAGAAGACTGTAATGGAGAAATCCGACTGTATTACTCTTTTACTCGAACAACATACGTACATGGTTTTGAGTATTAAGAAAAAAGAAACCAGTCAATGTCAAACTGAGTTTCTTTGCTTCATCTTAACTTCTTCACATCTCAGAGAAAAGACAATTGTTTTTCTATACAATAACACTATGAAAATAATATCTGGTAAATCATGTTTACACATTGGACAATCTTTATAATCGATGTCACAATAGCAAAAGGATAAATATAGTACATTTTTTTCTGCATAAGTTTGGCTGAAAGTGAAGTAAATTTCCCCTGTCGAACTCCATAATTACTGCATTTTTCTGCATAAGTTTGGCTGTAAGTGAAGTAAATTGCCCCTGTCGAACTTCATAATTACTGCTAGCAGATTTACGATTCATCCATAAAGACAGCACCGTGTCCATTAGCTTTCATGAATTTCTTAATCAGAAGTGCAAGTATAGCGATTGTAAGTCCAACTGCTGCCCATGTGAAGAAACGGTCATCAGCCTGCCGCGGAATGCTCTGTTGAGGTGTATGCAATGTCCGATGCTCATTAGGCCGTACAGCAGGGGGCTCTATAGGTGTCTGTACAGGATCAGCATCTAAAGCCAATTCACGTCTTTCTTCAGTAGTTGTGTCAGCAACAGATGGATTAGGAGGTCTTTCTTCAGTAGCCTCGTTACTGGGGTTCTCAGGACTCTCTTGAACCTCCTCCTCTCTATTACTGTTCTGTTCTTCGGGAGCTGGTGAGGTAGTAGCTTGAGGAACTGGGGGTGCTTTGCTTAGCATGTATTCATGTATCTGTAAAATAAACCAACTAATAATTCTCATGCTCACAGATGACAACAGATTGGATGTCAAAATGATATTCAGATAATGCTATACCTCGTCAATCAGCTTCTGGCGCTCAGGAGTCCCATATCTTGGAGCCACATCACGAGATTTAATAGCTAAAACACGCCTTTCTTCCTTTGTGTATTCTAGTGATCCAAGGGCACCATTTGGGCTGGTAGGCATAAATGCGATCAGAGCTACCAACGCAGTGCGAACTGCAAATCAAAAGTAAAACAATTAAATACAGATTAGCTTCAGTAGCTGTGCACCTCCCAAAACATGGGAAGCAGCATCCATTAATTCAAAAGAGCATACCACACAATAGCTTGATCCATTCTAGTCAATATAACTAAGGAATAATAATTGCAAAAAAAAGTTTGCTCACACTTCACTTTTTTATTTGAAAATTTTGCCTACTATAGTGTCAGCAGTTTTGTTCTGCTCAAGTACAGCTAACCAGCAGCCATTATAAAAAAAATTTAGCGCATGAATTAAATCATTTCTATCTTTTACATCCATCAACACAACCTCATGCTATATTTCAATAATATAGACTCAGCTAAATACAGCCACAAGTTAAAAGCAATGGAGCATATAATTTTCGAGGGAAATTTCCAACTCATGCATATGAAGATATATTTTTATGTCCTAACATGTCATTGCCTAAAATTGCAACAAGAGGAACTGTTCTATTGCTTCCACGTAAACAGGGTATCTGTCAATATATCCCAAGAAAAGAACATTAAGACCACGATATGAAAGTGAAATTCATCAAAATATAACACATCGAGAAAAATGGTAAGAGAGAATGATGAAGTTACCACTCCAGGACGGTTGCCAGTGCTCGGGATGATGATTAGAAATACTCAAACAAATCTTGGTTTGAGTTTCAAAACGTCCATTTGGCTGAAAAGAGCAAAACCATGAGTTAGCAGATTATTAATATTAAACATGAAATGAATCAACTACTAATGAAATTTGGCTTCTCCAGTCTGTAGCCTGACCCACCCACAAAACAGACTCCGTTTTGACCCACCACACTCAATAATCCCATCTATTCTCTTTCAGTTTGTTAATCCACAAACCTTTTGTTTTCCTTCTCCAAACTTTTTAGCTACCCTCCTGAATGAACTTGTAGCAAGGAAGGGGGGAGGGGGCTTGGTCACTCCTCAAAACTTAATCAAGATTTGCACATGGAGCAAAGCAACAACTTCCTTCAGACTCGAGTCAGATCTTATCGTATGGTAAAAACTTTCCTAAGATTTGCTGACTTTCCACTTGTATTAGAAATCTCTCAGCCACTTTTTTCCCATAATACCTTTTTTCACATCAAAACTTATTAGCACCCTGCCCGGCCCAATCTGTAAAGTTTGCTTGCGGCAGGATGGGGGGTTTGACCGACAAAGCTCGCGCCTCGCCCTATTCTAATTACTAAACCTTGTTCCATAAAATGACTCAAGGAGTAAGACAAGCTTTAAAAATAGAAAGAAACTCACTGTCAAAAGCATGAAAGAAGGAGGCTTGAAAGGATATTCGGCTGGCAACTGAATTCGTCCATGATAAATCCCCCCTTCAAACTCAGAATCTCGTGGACCCCTGATTGCAAATTGCCATTCAAATATGTTCTCCTGAAAAAGTAATATAAAGTTAAGTTTTAAATTGCTATGTCATTGTGCAAGTTCTAGAATTAAAAGTAACTTGTAAATGGACGACAACCAGTCATTTATCAATAGAATCAATTACGACAGAATCAATTACGATGAAATTCATTTACCAGTGATGGATTCAAGATCATATATTCACATGTTACCTCATAGGAATAGAAGGAAAATGCCCAAAAATCAAATCTTGACCATGTATATCACAACACCACATAGACATCAAACCGAGAGCTAGAAGAGCACATAGATCATTCATTATTAGTGAGGTTTATTCTTCAGCAGGATCAACTAATATCCTTAACATATGAACTTAGAACATACAACTCTAACCAAAGAAATTTTATCGAACCTTAATAGTTTTATATCATGAGAATTATTACGTACAACCAGTATTATCATAGTAAATACTAGAAATCACTAGTTGCTGCGTTGTCCAATTTTCAATTTTGTTTATTTTGTCAGCAGTAAATACAGCAAACAAGCTTTTGCCAAACAGTTTCAAATTTTAAGACTTGTACATCCACGCAGGAAAAATTGCATCATGGAAACAGCTTCCCTACCAATGCAATAAACCATCACTTCCATAGCAAATAAAGCAAATAAATGCACCCTCGCCTCCCAACCCTCGCGACAAAGCAAATTAGCTATACCCTCTTACCTTGAATACCAACTAACCATATTTATATCTACACACATACAAGCAGACAAATTCTCCAATGTATTGGACACTTCTTTCTTATCCCAATAAATTTGACTAAATTTCGAATGTATCCAGCAAATTTACCTACATCCACTTGTTCCACAGTTTTAGCTTCTTCTTTTTTTCCACAGTTTTAGCTCATGTCAAGTGAATTAGACTAATTCTCTAAGCTAAATGCCTAAATCAAACTACATTAATCCTCAATTCTTCAAATTAACACATATAATTTGCAATTAACCTAAAAAGTTGATCTTTTTAATAAATTTGAATCTCACAAAGCAAAAAATGCACCACATTAAAATTCTAGATCCAAACAGATAAAACATGAAAGGATAAGATCGATTTCACAAGAAGAAAAAAAAGGAAAATTAAGGAATTAAATTGAAACCTCAAGAGGAAGGCTCATGAAATCATCGGAAGGATTTGATTGCATCTCTTTAACCTCCTGTAAGATTCTCTTCACCGCTGGATTTTTTAGATTATACTTGTCTTCCGCCATATCTATTACTCTGAGCCTCTGCCGCTGCCGCTACCGTCGCGCCGTCTCCGGTCACCGTCAACCCACCGCCGGTCAGAAAAGTAGCACCGGATGATGATGTGATTATTAAGAAGAAAATTGGTGGGTGAGAATATATAATAAATATAAAAGAAAGTGAAGATTTTTAAGATGGCCGGTGACGTGTCACATTATAACGTGGCAACTAATTATTGGTTATGAAAAGATTAATATATTGACTCGAAGGGATGGATTTATAACTTGCCCTCTCGCTTATCGAAGTTAATCTCAAAAATCTTTTAGAAAATTTATGTGTTATGATAAATTCTTTTATATCAATTTAGTTGTTAGAGGCTCCTTCGACGTAATAGTTATTATTGTATTTTGTAAATTATTCTAACTTACTTTTCTCTTATTAAGATCGTCTTTTTATAATTTTAACTTTAGCACCTATACAGAAGAAAAACTAAACAGTCTCATGACGTTTAATATTAAAAAAACTTAAAATATTACAATGAAGCGTCACAAATTATTGAATATCAATCATTTGTTTCTTAAAAGCCGTGTAAACTTAATTAAGAAATTCAAAGACCCCACTAGTTGAGATGCAAAGTATGAAATACATGATATTGAATTCTTAAATTGGGGACTTCTAATCTTTGTTTCCTATGGGTAAGCCTCGAAAAGAAGAATGGGACACAACAAGACAAACTTGTGGAGAACTTCACTATCTAGAAATTGAAGTCTTCTAAAACTACAAAAAAAATTAATTAAAAATATGTGGCTATCAAAATGCATTAATGTTGAGTTGTTGACCCTTTTAGTGTGAGACTAAAAAAGACCAATGACCAAAATCAAATAACAAAATCAACTTACACATCTCCATCATGTGTTACTACACAAGAAAGAAATAAAGTAGCCAAGAGGGAGACATGGACAAGAAGGGCAAAACCTTATAAACCGAAGTAATCGCACTAAGTGAGGTCTGAAAAAGATGAAATATATGCGACCTTGTTCCTACCTTTGCAGGGTAAAGAGGTTTCTGAAATGGCAAAACCTTAACTTTACATCAAGGTCCTTTTCTCTTTCAAATAAATAACCAAAAACATTGAAGTTGTTCAAGTACAATAATATATCAGAATGATCTCACAAGTAAGGTCGAGATACGATGGAGTCTACACAAGCCATACCTGTGCAAAAGAAGTTCCAATAAACCCTCAACTCAAAAAAATTCCAAAACAGATTTGACAAATACAAAAGTAAGAGTTGTGAAAAAAACTATAGGAAGTTGTTGATATACAAAACAGAACCCATTGGACTTCACAAGTAGAGTAGCAAAGAGATTGGGGGGTGGAGGGGGAGCCAAATGAGCTACCACTGT